TAGATTTACCTGTATACTTTTTACACTTCCAGTGCATAGAAGTTAAACTCTATTGCATTATATCATGTTTTTGCAGTACATAATTTATTGAATGCAAGGGGCTAGAAAGACAGCTTAAAAAGGGCTTACTCAGTTCATCAAATGCTCCCGGACTAGTTGGGGTAGAAGAGAGTGCACTGGATGTATATTTAGCAACCTTCCCATCACCCTCATTGAATGATACTTCGGGATCATGGGAACATTAAAAAGTTTTTTCAAGTTATTTTTTTAAAATTTCATTCTTTTTTAAGGTGGGGGTAGGTCAGATTGGAAAAGGAAGAAATCTATTTTGTTCATCTTAATGAGGTTCGCGGGAAGTGTGATTGTTTCTCTTCCCCTACCATTTGCTATTTCTTCATACCTTGCTTTCTTTAATTTAGATACATTCTGTTTTTGCCTCAGGGAGTTGGCATTCTACTATCAGGATTATTTGGCACTGGGAATGGATCTTCTGTATCCGTGTAAGTCCAGACAAAAACCTTCTGCAACTTGACATTGCCTTGTTATGATAGTTGACTAAGTAGACTTACTTTTGTGTACATGCAGGGAGAATGCTGGTCTTTTAGCATTGACACGTGTTGGCAGTAGAAGAGTTGTTCAGATATCTGCTGCGTTCATGATTTTCTTTTCAATTCTCGGTAAATCACCACTCTTAACACTTCGTTTGAGGATACTTGATTCTCTTTACCCTCTATCGATTTGTCTTGACAACCGCATTATCATCAGGGAAATTTGGAGCTGTCTTTGCTTCAATTCCTGCACCTATTGTTGGTGCTTTGTATTGCCTTTTCTTCGCTTATGTAGGTATGTATATCTTTTGAGGCAAGCATATGCCCTGGATCACTGCCATGCCAAAATATTTCATGTTATGGAAAGCTTGGGAATTATTTTTTCTTATGATGTTCTTTCTTCGCAGGCGCTGGAGGCTTAGGCTTTCTTCAGTTCTGCAATCTTAATAGTTTCCGCACCAAGTTTATATTAGGTTTCTCCGTCTTTCTTGGCTTGTCCATTCCACAGTACTTCAATGAGTATACTGCTGTTGCTGGTTATGGACCTGTTCACACACATGCAAGATGGGTATAGCAAATTTACATCATTTTATAAATGTCCTAACATTTTTGACTTATGTATTAAGAGCTTTTGTGGTTTGTTATTCTTTCAGTTCAACGACATGGCCAACGTGCCCTTTCAATCAAAAGCTTTTGTGGCGGGTATCGTGGCCTTTTTCCTAGACAACACAATGCACAAAAAGGATGGCCAGACAAGAAAGGACAGAGGCAAGCACTGGTGGGACAAATTCAAGTCCTTCAAGACTGACACAAGAAGTGAGGAATTCTACTCCCTCCCATTCAATCTGAACAAGTATTTCCCATCTGTGTGATTTGGCGACGCCACGGAGACAAAGGTTCATCTTTCTACTAGCACTAGAGTTTTGCTTTCTCCCTTTCCACTTAAAGCTGTGTTTGTGGGAAGGGTGATGGGGGGAGGTAGGTTGCTGCTGCAACATCAATTTTCTTCTTTCATGCGAAATGAAGTATAAAATAGTCTGATCATTTTGAAGAAGCTTAGAACAACAGTTAATAGTTTAAGTATTTCCTACTGTTGTAAATTTATGGATATGATTGGATTCAACTTTAACTAGCAATAGAGCAAGCAATCCTTTTATGAATTTTAATTAGCAGTAAATCAGACTGGACAATTTGTTATAGAAAATATCAAAGTGATAAGTAGGAACAACAAAACACTAGGACAATTTTTTGACTAACATGAAAAAAGAAAGAAAAATTGTAAAAGGGTTAAAAATGTTTTTAAATTATGTGAAATTAAACAAAAATGTCTTTAATTAATAGTTTGGTCCAAAAATGCTCTTACGGGTTACGACTAACAGTTTGGTTAAAAATGTCTTTATTGTTACTTAATGGGTCAAAATGTTCTTTTTCTAATAAATATATTAGTTGAGTGCATTTTTGTTTAATTAAAAATCCTAATAATATATTTTAATTTCTTAATTTTTTCTAAATTGAAGTAAATAATTTGCTAACAATTAAAACTATTTTTAGGAAAAGAATACGTTTAAAAAGAAAATAATAATATATTTATTTAGAAAAAAAGACATTTTTGATCCATTAAATCATTTTTGGATCATACTATTAATTAAAGATATTTTAATTCAATTTTGCATAGATCGAAAGTATACAACCAAATGATGACTGTGTTACACTGGTACAGAAGGGGAGACCAAGATAATAGGACCACTGAGCCACTATGAATTGTTATTTGAAGAGAGAAAAACAAAAAAAGGGAATTTGGATAACTTTTTTCCTATCATTTTCTTTTGTTATTCTATACCCTTTCTTATTTCTTTCCAAATTGGATTTAACAGATAAAAGTAGAATTTTGAAGAAATTAATTGGTCAAAATTGGCATTGTCAATGTCATTATGAAGTTCTTTCAAGCATGAATTGAGTGTCATAATGTATTAATGTTTCAAGTACACTTAGATTCTCCTTTGTTGAAAGGGAGCTACTTCATATAATTGTACTCAAGAGTATATATAGTATATGAAAATCATGTGATTTAGATGATTTCTTATTATTTGTCTAAATTTTGGTGGTACAATTACTTAGTACATGTGTTAGTGGCCAGAAAGTAACAAGTATTATCAGAGACAAACTCAGAATTTGAAAGATTGTGGGTTACCATTGTTTTAACAGAGAGGTTAGAGAAATTTTCAATGACAATAGAGGGATAATGTTATGTCCGACTAGTCACTAACGACATGAGCAGCGGCGAAAAATATAAATATATAGGTCATATATGAATTCTAATTAGTTATTTCCTTCATTTCAAAATGAGTGGTGTTTTAGCCGTGTGTTAAGATTTCAAGAAGAATTAATCTTATTCTTCTAAAATTACCCTAGTTTCAAAATAAAGAGTTTTACACCATTCAATAATCATTTTTTTCATTGATGACATTTTAGGAGCAAGTTAGTAAAAACACTCCTTATTTGTTACTTTTTCTCTTCATTTTTACTTGTTCACTTTAGATTCTGCATGCCCGTTAATAAACGATTAATATGGTTTTTTACCACAATATCTATATTAATTGATCCCCTTATTATTCTAACGGTGTTCAATTCTCCCTAAATATATTCAGATTCATACTCTCTCCATTTCAAATTAATTGAATTGTTGAGACCTTTTTCATTTTTCAAATTAACTTAATTGTTTAATTTTCAAGACTACTTTTAGAATGTTCTTCTAATTTTACCCTTCATTAGTTAGCATTGGAATTAGTTATTAATTAATATTCAGTTATTTATCATAAATTTGACAATAGCTAATAAGGGTAAAAATAGAAAATTATGTCTAATTTATGTCTTAATCTTCTTTTCTTAAAGAATGTGAAACACCTCAACAATTTAATTAATTTGAAATGAAGAGAGTATTAAATACCCACACAATATATAATGCATGATCAGAATTAAAAAATATTAATCATATCAACAAAGCAAACACATAATATTTGAAGACAACGGATGCATCATTATCATAACATAGACACTAGTGAAGCATTTTATTAACAATCGATGGTTAATATCATATTCGACTGATCACTAATAACATAAGCAATAACGAAAATACAAATATATAGGTAAAATATGAATTTTAAGCACATGAATTAAAAGAAGAATATGCATGGTTAAAATAAATGCGCATGCAACAGACAGAAAGAAGACGAAGTATATTTTTATGGTCTTTTTGTAACTTTGAGGGGAAACAACAATGGGAATTAACTCAGTGGAATAGCAGAAGATGTTGGATAAAGTTAGATACAGCAAAAACAGAATTGTTCCAATTTTGCACTATCCAAGATCTATCTACAGAAAGAAAAAGGGAGTATTTTTGTATGATGATTTGTTTGGGGGAGTGAGATCTGTGCCATGCTGGTGTAAATCATGTCTTCTTTTCACGCCTTTCTTTGTTCAACCATGCCATACCATCATCACTATCCATTCGATTCGATGTCCGAATCAGCTTATGCGCATCTTAATTATTTTACAGGATATATATCACATTCCACAAGCATATGTATTATATAACGTTTTTACCAATAGATAGGTAGATGTCAAGGAATTACTTGATTTATTTTTGTTTTTATAGAAATTTAAATCTTTTTTTTAGTCGAAAACTTATATGGTATATAAATAGATTAAATTTTTTAACTCTGTATAAATATATATATGAAAATCCTAGTTGGTAGCTTAGGTGGAGGAATCAATCCTATGTGGCTTGCCACGTCATTAAAAATTTAGAATATTAACTTTTGAGGGGTATTTGTGGTCTCTTGGGATAACGACGGGTGTATTTTTATTCCCAAAATGTAATTGATGGGTATAAGTGATCTATTTTATATAGTTCAGGGATAATTTTGACTATTTTCTGTATTTTTTATGAAATTTTTGACTTCACTATTGAGATCACACCGTAGCCCTCACCTCTAAAATGAACGGATAAAGTAAAATCTTAGTATGTTGACTATCTGAACTTTTTTACCTTGTTGATAAGATAAAGATTCCATTTCACCTTGTATCCTCTTCCTCATTTTTCCTTCTCCTGGCCTAGTTTTTTTTTTTTTTTAAATTTCCATTATGTCTTTGATATTTATATTAGAGCCCGATTAAATTTGAATTCGCACCCGATATTTATATTAAAGTCCGATTAAATCTGGATTCGCGCCGGAAAGTTTCACATTGGGGATAAAGCATTCTTTAACAATGGTGACTCCATACCAAAATGACTCAGATTCGAGACCTCTAAAAAAGGAAGAAGTACTTACGATTCCACCACAACCCTGATTAGTTCTCCTTGCCCAGTTGACAGTTGACACTTATATAAAGGTCATAGCCTAGCTCATTTTCAGCAGCAAAGTTTATTCCCCCCAATATTTACAGAGAATTAAAGCAAACAACATAACTTAGAGAGATGGGGAATTGCCAAGCAATTGATAATGCAGCTTTGCTATTACAACATCCAAATGGCAAAGTAGAGAAGCTCTATTCATCTGTCACTGCTCACCAAATCATGAAAATAAATTCTGGTCATTATGTTTCTCTTCTTCTCACCACCACCACTACCACCACCACCAACAATAATACACCGGTACGAGTTAGGCGAATAAAGCTTCTCAAACCTAATGATACACTTGTTCTTGGTCAGATTTACAGACTAGTTACTGCTCAAGGTTAGTTACTTCTCGAGAATCTTAGTAACTCAGTTGATTACATTTGTCTGGTTAGTAATGATTTGATACCCTTGTTTATACAGAGGTAATGAAAGGATTGTGCGCAAAGAAGTATGCGAAGCTGAAGCAGTTAGAATATTCATGTGAAAAGTTGACTCAAAAATCAAATTTGAATGTTAAACAAAGTGTTACAAGATCTGTTCAGGAGAATTCTAAACAGGTGAATTTTTAATTTTCATTTTAATTCCAAAAAACCTGTTTGTTAGTTTTATTTTTATTTTATGAGATGATTTTTTTCTTCTTCAGGTTAAACAGGAAAAACATAGAAACTCAACAGGTGCAAGATGCAGAGCATGGCATCCCTCATTACAGAGCATATCAGAAGCTGCTTGTTGATTTGGGATGATTATATTATTTGATTAATTAAATTGTTCTACAGAAAAAGTGTCCTTGTTTTGGTGTCCGTAGCTCGATCAATTCCACGAGATACCGGACACCCCTCACCGACAACAAGAGTGGCCCTTTTTTATCACATGTATAGCAAAAGAGAAAAGAAAAAAAAAGAAGGAAGAGATTTCTCACATTTTAATTTTTGAATCATTTGGAGGCATTTGTTCAATTGGAATTATTGTAGCCTGTAGGCTTTGTTGTATGCACCAAAGTTTGTGTACTTGGAAGTACTACTATTAATTTGATAAATCTAATGGACTTTAGAACATTTATTTGAGTAACCTTTCTCCATCAGAATTTTGAGTTTGTGGGGGATGGATTTACCGATTCACATGAACTTAATAATTTTTGCTCATATTCTATAGATGTTAAGAGAAATCTATTAAATACTCCTAAGTATTTGATTATGGATTTAATTATTATTATAATATTAATTTGAGATTGCGATAGAAATTCATAAAATTAAAATGTTGCTAGGTTGGCATCATTCCTGCAAGGCAGCACAAATGTGAAAGACAATGTAGAGAGAAAGAGACTAAATCTAATAGCAACTCATCAAAAGAAAGAATAATTTGAGAGTGGGTGAAAGAACACATCAAATTAAAGGCTAAAAAAGGACGAAAAGGAGTTACTGGAATATGATAAACACCCCTCACTTCCAATTGCAGGCAAAAAGAATCATATGCATGCGTGCATTATTGTTTGGGTAAGATATATGTCTAAGAATTCCACTTCGGATTGAATTAAAAATAGATGGGCGCTCTCCTTATATATATTTGGACATGAAATCTCGTTAGTTTTTGAAGTTGAGTTAGACCCAAATTCATTTCTTTACCTGTTATTAGAACAAGATCCATCCCAATTATAAATTATTGTTTACTGATGTTGGAATTGCTCGAACCAGATGTCCGATCTTGAAAGTGAAATGGGGTGTTGAAGAGTCCGACATCGAATAAAAGACAAATGGATGGTCTCCTTATATGAACTTGCGGAATTTTCCTTACTTTTCCATATGCTATGTATGGGGAACCTCTTCATAATGCTTTTGATTTGCCAATAAGAATGGGGCCTCACTAAGATCTAGTCAATGTCTTCATCACAAACAAACATAATACTTCATGAAAATCCTATCTAATCATTCCTACATTGGCCAATCAGATTTCTGGAGTTGGTGTCCTGCATCTCTTGTGTCTGATTCTTTCTTCTGATAACTAGAACACCAATAATTTAATATTCATATTCTCATTCCACACATCTATAATTTAATTGATTCATCTGAACTCAATATTTTTAACGCAGAATATAATTGAATGTGTAAAAAATCACGAAATTGAAATAAATAAGGTAATGAACCCATAACTTTAAGAATATATAATAGGTTCAATACTAAAAAGCTAAGCAAAAATCTTGAATTCGCCGTAAAAGTTATCTCATTAACAATTGTTTCTTATTGATTTTGCCAGGCCGCTGGAAGCTGGAAAGAACAATATTTTTTTTATAGAATCATTAGCTGGATATAAATATATAAAAAAGCATTCTTTGTGACTGATTATAATGAATATGGTGACACAACTGAGTAAAGGTAATTTGCTAGTAATAATGCCTTGTCCAATTTTGACTTCAAACAATCATTTCACCCATCTTTGTTGCACTGGAAAGAGTAGGGGTTATCCCTCGTCTGTCCTTATAATGGTGGTAACGGTGATGAACTGGTCCGCTGATAAAAAATGCTCACATGGACTATTATACTAGAATTTATTAACTTTGTGCGAGATGAGTAGAAATTACCTAACATTTTGTGTCTTTTAGTTAAAATTTGAATTCTGATCTCTCATAATTTTCACTTACTTCATTGATCGAGACCACATCTTTATATACAATGAGTTTATCTATCTTCTCCTCTTTATAAATGGTGTCATCTAGACCAATTTGTGTGCACATTAACTACTCTTTCAGGATCCTACTATCTCCGACCAACATAAGTACCAAATTTAATTATCAACTAGGAGAAGTAAACTCTCTCATCATAAAAATCCATGAGAATTTTCAAAACAAGCACAACAGCAATTACAATGTGTTTGGTAGAGAAAAAAAAGATTGTATTGGTCAATGGTGGCATTAAAGCACAAACCCATAGACATATAAACACAAAATGAAGGAAACTCTTCTCTTGACTCTCATGAAGATATCATATATAGATATATGTAGTAAGTCTTGAATTGTATGTATGAACCAGAACAACAAACTGGTCCAGCTCCCGACTGAAAGTCGATTACCCTTTATGTTTCAAACTCAAACTCAGATGAAAAAGTTCACGGCAAGGCTCGTGATATTGTTCTCTCAGTCATCCCTTTAGTTTTTCTCATGGTCTTCCATTTGGCTGAAGTTGCCTCTCTCCTTGAAGAGTTGAGTGTGATGGTGCCTACAGTACAATCTATGCTCATGAGCTACATAGTTTGATGGACTGATCACGCATCCTCCATGGCTGCATTTGAAACAAGGCCTGTGGTACGAAGTGCCATCCACTGCTACCTATAAAAGCAGCAGTGACATTAATCTATAAGCTTGATCTAAGAAGAAAATAGCACTTCAGATATGCCGAGTTAGAGGCACAGGCACTAATCCATGGGTTCCTAAAGAGAGCTCAGCTTTTCGAATTTGTACTAAAGTATTTTGAAATAACCTATTCTGTCTAGTCTGCGCCCTGCGGTTTTATAGATTAGTTACCATTAGACAACAAAAGAAATTGTCAATACCTTTTCCAGGGGATAAACAGTTTTCTTGCAAGCAACACATTTATCTTGAGTTCCGCCAAACAAACTTGAAACCTTACTGTTTGATCCCTGGGAGATAAATACGAGGCAATTAATTATAAGATCAGCAGGCAAACTGAAATGGACAAAAATGTATGCTGTAAAATGCTAGAGGAAGAGTGTTCAAATAATACCTGATCCGCAGAACGTTCCCTGACAGTTTTCGGAGCCCCTAAAAAAGAGAAATAACAAACAAGAAGAAACTAGCTTTAGAAGGAGTAGCGATGAAAAATGAAATAGAAGAAAAATCAGCATGCCAACTCTATCTTAACTACCTTCGAAACTCTTATCCAGACTTCCTGTCATTTTGAATAGCTGGTCAAAGTGAGGCCGGCAGTACAAAACTCCTTCGAAGGAGTTATAATTACTCAGCTAAAAAACATTAAAAATGACAAGGAAAATAAGATTAAGACATCTTATAATTAACCACATGAAAACAATGTGCTAAAGAGATGCTAAACATATGAAGGAGAAAATGGAGATATACTCCAAGTACTGTGTCCGTCTGAGAAGTTTACACTAGATTTTGGACTTTTGGTTGATAGAGCCAAATATCTTCATCTGTATAACTAATTGTATAGCACTTCTATGCCAGATTCCATGCTAACAAAGTTGGATGAATAAAAAGTCTCAAGGCCTCCGCAAATCAGAGTTGAACAACAATTACAGTAGCACAATTACTGATAGATGGAGTCAAGTTTCAAAATCAATAAAGTTAGTACAGTAGGATGCAGTTGCAAAGACTCCGCTTAACTTCTCAGGTAAAGACTAAAAGGCAAAGTTTTTACATAAATGATAATTTTGATGGAATGTCTGATTGTCTTCTCATGCCTCCATAAATGTCAGCATTCTTGCATATTTCATTCCTAAAAGAAGAACGGAGCTCATGTATTCTTCACCCAATAAAGTATTCTTGTTTAATTCGTAGCTGTAATTTGGAACTTTAGCCCTAGCTGGTCGTGACCAAGAAACCACTGGTCGGTTTCACTTACTTAGATTAAGCATATTTGAATGGGGAATAATGTCAAGTGTCAACTAATAAATCAGGATTCTCAAGTTAATCAGTCAAAATTGGTCGGCATAAAGGTGAAAATGGGAACAAAAACACAACTCATTGGCTGTTGAGATGATATTAACCGACGTGAGACATTACGAAAAAGAAACAACTACTTCTTCTATATGGCTCCCAAGTTCAAGTGACAAAGGTAAAAAGGTTGAAGGGCTTGTAACTCAGGCAACAAGTTTGAGCCCTGCGCCATGTGAACTAAGCCTAATATTTAAGAGGGGAAGATTAGAGGGGCAGGCCCATTAACCCTGAGTTTCGAGAGTTGCGGTTGGTCCTAAAAGCTAGCCTTAGATGATTTCTTGGTCATAAAAAACAGCTTCTTTAAATAGATCATGTAAACTTCTACCAAATCTCATTTGAATGTTTATATGTGAATCTTAAACCCATAGTTCCCTAGAGTCCATGTAATTACATTTCACAGACCAATTTTGGTCAAAATTTTACGCAGTTAGGGGAGTCCGAAAATACCCCCCGATAGATGCCTCATTTTTCCTCAAGTTACTATCACATCAGTTAACCTTAATACTATCAAACAATCACTCTTCACTAACAATTGCTGAAAGCTTACATAAGTATCTAAAACTCAAACCTTTGAAAGAGGCAAATCATGGTTAACCTTAATACTATCAAACAATTACTCTTCACTGACAATTGCAGAAAGCTTACATAAGTATCCAAAACTCAAACCTTTGAAAGAGGCATATCAAAACAATCTGACAAACATAACCTAACACAGAAAGCATCTATTAGTTGAAATCTCTGTTCTTTTGGGATAAACAGAAGAGCATCATGGATCTCCCAATCAAACCCAATCATTCATTTCTAACAAAGCACAGTAAGACATCGAAGTTGCAAGCTTGCAACTTCTTGTTGCAGATTCAAATACTAAAACTATAAAGAAATGGATCTTGGACCTAACTCAACCCCCAGAAGCCAGCTCACGAGGGGAGGATTGCGCAAGTCCATATAAGAGACCACCCATCCCCTTTTCATCTGATGTGGGAATCTTCAACACCCCACGCCCTCGGCTAGAGGCCTAGTATGTGGACAACTTAAAATGGGAACCCAACATCATACACAATAATTGGGATGGGTCCTGATACCATATAAAAAATGAATCTTGAATCTAACTCAACTCCAAAAACTAGCTCAAGAAGTGGAGAATTGTCCAAATCCATAAAAGGACACCACCCCTCCATTTTTCACTATTCAACACAAACCCTACCCTCTTCTTCCTTTCCTTGACCCATCCTCTCTTGAAACCAATTAGAACATTACAATTCTATCTACAGTATGAAATAACATTGATTTCACATATAAATGTACGCCACATATAACATCAAGCAAGATAAAAGCACAAAAGCACATTTAACAAGAAAAAGATCAGATTTTTAGTGTGTATCACCTTGAGTGTACCCTTACAATGGTGGCATCTGAAACAAGCTTTATGATAAACCTTATTGTCAGCAGTAAGTTGATCCACCAAGTAAACAGTTTTTTCACAAGCCTTACACTTCTGAGTTGTCCCTCCAAAACTTGCCATTTCCTCTGCAGATCTCCACTCAATTCAATGAACAAACAAAACAAAAAAGATACCTTTTTTTCTCTCTCTCTTTCTACTCACAGAGTCCTTCAAATTTGAGTACTTTATATTACCTTTACATTATGGTGTTTGAATTTGGAATTATACTTTATGTCTAATCAAAAAGTTGAGAACAAATATTAAATTCATAATTAAAAATCAGAATAAGAAATCATACTTATAAATTAAGATTCTCAAAATTTAAATACTCTGTTTATTTTTTACGTTTCAATTTGTTTGACTAATAACTTAATTATCACCAAGTTTGAGAAAATAAAGTAAATTTTAAATTTTATAATCTTAAATTAAAAATATCTTTTGATTACAGAGTTTGAAAAAATATATTTATTAAACGAACTAAATAAACTAAAACAAATTAAGGGGAAATATGTTTTTGTATGCTAGTGGTAGTAGGGGCCAGGCAGGGTTTTGATAAAATTAGCGGTCCATAATGAAAGATTATTCTGTCACAGTGATTTAATTACAAGTGTATACACATTAAACAGGATTATTTAAAATTAATTATTTTGAAGTAATCTGACTATATGTTTAACTCGGTTGTGGTTATTGATGCCTTCGAGACATAGCATAATGCATCTGGGTTTAAAACGAACAATAACTTAGTTTTTGTATATACCTTTCAATTAATGTGACACATTTTAAATTTTAAGTTTTAAATAACTATTTTTATTATAACATTTTAAAAATAAATAAACGAGTTAATCATCAATCCAAACTTAAATGAATTGAATAACTTATAATTTCACGAGCTAATTTTATAATTTCTCGTATTAACTATATTTTGGATACCTCAATGGATATATCACCGTTCTTACTATTACCAACTTCAACAATCCTCCCTCCTCTTATACCGTAACCAATTGTTCCAATGTTTAATAACATGCCCGTTTAGAATTCCTTACTATTCAAATTAGGAATACTAATTATAATTTAAATAGGGTAGGAAATAAATCAAGATTAAGATTCCTAAGTAGTTTAGGATTTCTTAGTAGTTTAGAATTCCTTAATAGTTTAAGATTTATTATTTATGGTATTTCCTTATTTAGTTTAATTAGAATTTGTTAGTTTTATAGGTTTCTAGTCCTATTTTACTTTGGTTGTTAGTATTATAAATAAGGATGCCTTATTACATATTTTCAATGTAGTGAGAGATACGTTGAATGTAGAGAGATATACTCAATGTATAAGAATTACAAGAGTTATTGAATAAAATCTCTTACTTACTATTTGTAGATTAATAAGTTTCTTCTACAAAACCATTGCTGGATCTTTTTGTGCATATATTATTACCTTGACAAAACACATATATATACGTACTCATTCTTCTCAGGACTCTACATCGAATCAAGCTATGGTAGACTCTACATCGAATCAAGCTATGGCAGACGAAGATCAAAGCAAGAAGGCAGAAGAAGATCAAAGCAAGAAGAAAACAAACAATCCCAAGTCTTATCAGGTGAGGAAAGAATGCATAAAGAGGAAATCAATGGAGCTTGCAACTCTCTGTGATATCAAGGTTTGTACTGTTATTACTGGTCCTAATGGGGAACTGCAAACTTGGCCTGACAATTTGGATGCCTGTAAAGAAGTTCTTGATCTCTACTCTCAAAATCTGAAACCCGAAAAAAAGCACAAGGAATCATCAACACAAATACCAAAACCAGAAGAAGAACAAGGAGAGAAAGATCTCCTATCGATAGTTGAATCAAAGCTTGTTGCTGTCAACAGGAGAATTCGTTTCTTGGAGAACAAGAATGTTGCCCTTGCTGATAAGGGGAAAAGAAAGAGAATTGAGTGATTTATTTGTATGGATTTTTTCTTCTGTTAGTGGATATCATACTTTATGTGGTTAAGGAATTGGAACAGCCCAAAAATCCTTCATCCCTATTTAAAGACCTTTGCCTTGGAACTCAATAATGTTTTCTGAAAATATTCATCTTATTGTCTTTCGTTTTCTACCATTCATTTAGCAACAAATTCTTTTATCATGGAAAATTAGACACTTCCATGCTGTTGTTACAGGAATATTCTCCTATAAACCTTTCATGATAAGTGAGTTTTAATATGCGATAGCATGGTAGTTATCATTTTTACCAGATTATCAATTAAAACATATCAATATATTTACTTGTATACTTTTTACACTTTCAGTGCATAAAAGTTAAACTATATTACATTATATCATGTTTTATTAAAACTTAAATCGCATAAAAATGATAGGTATATTAAAACACAATTAGTTGCATACTGCAAAATAAGCTATTGATACAAATTTGTTTATGACTTTATTCTAATAAATATTATCAAATTTTGTTGGTTATGAAATACAAGGCATCATATAAGATTTATCGTAACATATATATATATATATATATAAACACACATTTATACACTATTTATGCAATATTGATAAATTACATAACCAGTATGTATACAATATCAATACACGTTTATATACATTTATACAATATTGATAGTTGCGCGGATTTTTTTAAAATTTTAAAAAACAGGTTTTTATGAAAAACAATAACAAAATAAGTTTTGTTTTTTTAAAAATAAAAAATAATTAACTAACGCTACCAAAAAAAAAAAAAGAAGCAAAAATGACCTAATGGTCTTGGGCAGATTTAAGCTCCGTTGAGCCCATGACCCTTTTTAGCTATTTTTTCTGTAAATAGAAAATTGGCTAATTCTTTTGTAAACTTTTTATTTTTTTGTATATTAATGAAATTTCTCCTTTAATATTTTGGCTTTTTATCAAGTGTTATTGAGTGTCCAATTTGTCAATTCTTTGACTAGATTTGATGACTTATATTTTTATTATAGATGCTAAGTAATTAAACTTTTGTAAATCTCTTATTACATAAATCTTAAGTAACATGAGAATAATTACTATTATAAATTAGACTCACAACTACACAAAAAAGAAACAAAAACCTCATGAGTCATGACTTCCCCATTATTTATAGCATGTTTCCTACTTATTTTCTCGTGTTCAGTTAGTTCACAAATCATCTTATACTCAGTTAATATCGAAAACAAAGCTTCAGAAGCAGCAGTAATCCATTGTTTTTTGAGAGGGAAAAATGTTTTCCAAAGTAAATTAATTCCTGGAAGTGGTCCAAATTACATCGATATTCCCATAATTCCCAAAGGAGATAACACACTCACTTGTGATGTAGATTTAATTGTTTTATTAAAAAAACATGGTCATTTTGAGTTATTTAATTTTGATAGAGATAAGGGTAATTGTGAAGCTGTTGGACATTTTTGTCGTTGGGAAATTCAAGATGGAGGAATGTGTATGGGATCTGGAACTAATTGTAAGCTTTTCTTAGAGTGGAATAAGTGATTGATTTAATCTACAATTATATCAATTAAGAATTTTTTTTTATCACTATATAGTTGAGTTTTTCTATTTGAATTATGCATGTTTTTACGAAATCGTTTTTTTTTCAAAATTACAAGAAATAACACTATAACTAAAATCAACCTTTTTGTGGCGATTGTAGTCATTCAAACGCACATATAATTGCCACAAAACCCTAAAATCCTTTACTCTTATGGCGATTAAATGAGTCATCACAAAAAAAACGTAGTTTTTGTAGTATAAATATGATGGTTTGGAGGTCTCTCGTTGGGTACATAGTCATCATTGTTATAAAGAAGCGTTTTATTTTCTAGAATGGACTTTTCAACATATATTTAAAGTTAGTCAGACACTAATATATATACCGAATTCTGAATGAGAAATCAAAAAAAACAAAAACTATACCATAGGTTCACCTTAGACATGAGATAAATAATATCCAAGAGTAGTGTCTTGGTTGTTCTCTAATAAAGCCTACACATTGATGCAATTAAATAAAACAAAATAAAATAAAAGCTCGTATTAAAAAATAAAGGAATAAATCAATTCATGGCGATTAATAATCCAGCAAGGTCAAAGGATAAAATTTAATTATATGATCCAATAATCTATAGATTTATGTAACATTAATAAGTTAGTCAAATTTAGGTGTGAATATACTGACTCAATCGAGCTAGGTCAACTATATTAATGCCAACTCAATCCTATATGTATAGATCCTATACATATAACTTATAAGTCCGTAGTAATAGTAGTATTCTTTCTGTTTTAATTTTTTTTTTAGTGATTTAGCTTGCAAAAGATTAATATATATATATATATAAACTTGTTATTAAGAAATTAAAGAAGATTTTAATTGTTGTGATTTTAAATTAAAGATAATATTGAATGTAATGTACTTTAATTTTGTGGTAAATTATACATGTCGCGTGTAAAATTTGAATTACTGAGTTATCCAAAAATAAAAAAGAAGAAGAGAAAGAAACATTCTTTTTGAAATGGATTAAAAAGAGAAGTAAGAAAAATAAATTAAATTAAAATAAAACAATGAAGGGTGTTCACAGTTTGGATAAAAATCTATTAAATAAACAGATTTTATTTGTGTTTGGTTTGATTTGGTTCCTTTTCTAATTGTTTCACTTTTTTTGCGGAAACAACGAATATTTATGTCGTTTTACCATTTTTTGTTTATTCATTTATTTATTAAGGTGAAAATACATGATAGTCAAATAAACATGATATAAATACATTACATAATTGTTTATATAATCTCGATACTAACTTATATACTATTTATCTCATATTGATACACATTTACACCATATATGCAGTATCAATACACTATATAACTATCTATACAATAGCAATACACGTTTTGTAAATATTTATACTATATTGAATTATTGATACATGGAAAAGTTTATTTTGTTTAAATTTTTTTAAAAAAAAAAATAACGAACACTGGAAAAAAAAAAAAGGGAAGCAAAATGGCCTAAAGGTCTTGGGCGATTTAAGTTCTGTTGACCCTATGATCCGTTTTGACTATTTCTTCTCTAAATAGAGTTATTTTTTTGTATTTTTTTTGTTTTTCTGTATATTAATGAAGTTTACTTTTTCTGTAAATAGAATTACTTTTTGTAATTGTTGGATTAGATTCGATGACTTATATTTTTTTATATATAGAAGATAAGAAGTAGTTAAACTTTTGTAATAATTACAATTATAAATTAGAGTTGCATCAACACAAACAAAATACACACATCGAAAATGAAAAAAAAACTCATGACTTCCTCATTATTTATAACGTGTTTTCTACTTATTTTTTCATGTTCAACTAGTTCAGATTCCATCTTATATACAGTTAATATCGAAAATAAAGCTTCGAAAACAGCAGTAATCTATTGTCTTTTGAGAGAAAATGTGTTCAAAAGTATATTAAGTCCTGGAAGTGGTCCAAATTACATCGATATTCCTATAATTCCCAAAGGAGATAACAAAATCACTTGTGATATAGATTTAATTGTTTTAGCAAAATTACATGTCCATTTTGAGTTATTTAACTTTGATAGAGATAAAAATAATTGTGATGATGGACATTTTTGTATTTGGGAAATTCAAGATGAAGGAATGTGTATGGGATCTGGAACTGATTGTAAGCTTTTCTTCATGTGGAATAAGTAATTGATTAAACTACAATTATATTCAATAAGAAAAAATATATTAATTATTACTATATATATAGTTGAGTTTTTCTATTTGAATTGACTAATTAATTTAATATTTGATATATATATATTCAAATCGCGGAATCATTAATTTTTCAAAAATATAAGAAATAACACTACAATCAGAATCAGCCTATTGTGGCGACTAAATGAGTCACCATAAAATAACGTAGTTTTTGTAGTATAACTATAATGAGATCGGAGGTCTCGAGTTCAAGTCTCCTTGAATACAAAATTATCATTGTTACAGAGTACTTTAGTTTATTTTTTAGATAGGGCATTTCAATACAAATCTAAATTTAATTAGACTTTAATATAAATATCGAATATCCCTAAAACACACAAACTACAAAATGGGTTCACCTTAGACATGAGATGAATAATATCCTGCTGGTTGTTCCCTAGTTAATATATAGTTAAAGCCTAAACATTGATGCAAGAAAATAAAATAAAATATCATATTTAAAAACAAATGAATAAATCATTCACGGCTATTAATAATCCAACAAGGTCAAAAGATAAAAATTTAATTATATGACCCTATAATTTATAGATTTATGTAACATTAATAAGTTAGTCAAATTTGGGTGTGAATACACAAATCCAAATTGAGCTAGGTCAACTATATTAATTCGAACCCAATCCTATGTATAGATCTTATACATATAACTTATAAATCTATACTAACAACAATATTTTCTCTGTTTCAATTTATTTTCTTTAAGTTATTTAGTTTGCAAATGATCAATATATATATATATATATATATATATATATATATATATATATATATAGAAAGAGAGAGAGTTATTATTAAGAAATTAAAGAAGATTTTCTATTGTTGTGATTTTAAACTAAAGATAATGTTGAATGTAACGAAATGTACTTTAATTTTGTTTTATATTATACATGTCACGTGGAAAAATTGAATTACTGAGTTATCCAAAAAAAAAAGAAGAAAAAGAAACATTCTTTTTGAAGCGGATTAAAAAGAAAAATAAGACAAATAAATTAAATTAAAATAAAATAATTAAAAGAAACACTTTTAAAAAAATAAAATAAAATAACCAACACTGAAAAAAAAATAGAATTACTTTTTTTTTTTTTTTGTAAAAGTGCATGATCCTTTTTGACTATTTTTTCTGTAAATAAAATTACTTTTTTTCTTTGTAATTTTTTGTTTTTCTGTATATTAATGAAATT